TATAAGTGACTGACTGTGTCTCATTCTCTGACAGAATACGTTGCTGTAGTCAAACGGGAACACTATTAAAATTGATTTGATTTTTGATTCAGTGCCACTTATTTTATTTGTAGTTTAATTTTTGATTTCAAAAGCTTTGAAACCAGAAAACTGAATCAACACCAGGGATGGGTTTCACAAAAAGACCCTAGTGGCTTCTTAAACAGCACACAGTGTTTTTCGACACTGGATGTAACAAGACTGATATTCTCTACCCTACTTTATCGTTATGTGAAATCCCCTTTGTGATTTGATGCAAACTGAAGTATGATGATAGAGAATTTGGAACAAAGACAGGAAAAGTCTGTCTGCATTTCAAGGTCACAATCTTTCTACTGTTTCCTCTGGCCTGCAGTGGCTCAGATTGATTTAAATAGAAATCAACTGGACATGCAACAAAGTAGACAAAATAGGGGGTTTTGGCTGCTCGAGTACTGCTTAATGCAGGTTTTAAAATTCCTTTTTGTGCTATTTATCTAAGTGGGGCTAGGCTAAATAACAGAGCAGGTTCTCTGTAATTTCATTTAAGGGCTGTGTAGATCAGTAACATTTGTACTCTCAGAAGTAAAATGGTCCAGTAGTTTTAGTTCTGATCATATGAGAAAGGCCCAATGCCAATTTTCCATCCAAGTCAAACAGTTCACAGTTTCTTCCCAAGTGTATAAAATGAATTACATGTCAGTTTTGCCACTCACTTACAGAAGCTGAGGTATAGTAAAAGACTTACCCCCCCTGCATCAGTACTTTAAATAATTAACACAGAAGAGTGAAAACAAATGGCTCATTCTGGTCAATCATGCTATTAACAGAGAAAATGATCTGTATCCATATCATGATCCTAGCCTGGTATTATTTGGTACTGAACTGAAACAGTATTTTGTGTCATTGCCTACTTGTGAAAGCCAAAGTGAACACGGTCAGATGTGTCCTGCAGTGGGAGATAATAAGATACGTGTTCAACTACATGATCATGGTTTTATGTTGGACAAATTATGAGTGTGAATTCTATGCATTTTATTATAGATAAAACTGAATCATCTAATAAATATGTTGAGCAAAGTAATGGTTTTTATACTGCTTTAATGTTTTTCCATGTAGGCCTATATAAGTGTGCAGAAGTTCTATAAATGTATTTTGCATGCTTGCATAGACTTATAATGCTAGAGTATAGAAACATAAATCAGGCCCACCACAAAAAAGAATCTTAGTTTTATTTTTGCAACATATCAAGTTCTGTATTTATTCTGCCCACTTTTTAAACACAAAGATGATCCTAGGAGAAAATAAACATGCTAAACAGGCTTTACATTTTGCTGATAAGGCTTCAACTGGAGGTTGCAGGCTGCAGTAAATGAAAGGAAATACTTTTCATGTTTTCATTCCTGGAGAGAGAGCAGATGAGGTGGTGCTGCCCTCTTCTGTACACTCACAGAGTTTGCCTGGACTCATGATGTCCATCAAACCCTGAATAAGTATGAATAAGCTCTTAGAGACAGCTTGCTTTGTCAGCCTACAGAGTCCTGATCCACACATCACAGCCTGCATTCTTCTCTCTCTGGTCCCCTGCTGGGAAAAACTACGTGTGACTTGCAACAGGCGGAGCTTAAACTTTAGGGACCTTGTTCTAAAACTCGCAGCTTTTTTTTTCTCACTGTGGAGACAGGAGCTACCGGTTGTCTAGGACCACTACTTTCAAGATTAACGGAAAGTAGCCAACAAGATGGTCTTTGTCAAGTTTACATGCGCAATCATTACTAGAGCGTTGTTTATCCTGGTCTCCCTGGCCGGGGTGTGGAGGGTGACATGGGTGAAGAAGCAAGATTATAGGTACTGGCTCCTGACTTTCCTCTTTCTACCGCTTGTCGTTGAAATGATAATTACACTGAAGAGGCGACAGGGAAAAGACTACAAATGGTAAGATGACATGCAAGCTTAGTGTAAGTGCTGCAATATATTATTAATAACACAATGGAGAATGCATTGGGATACTAATGCCTTGAATGCAGGCGGTTTATTTTTTGTGCAAAACTAATCACAGCTGTGTGGTTTGCACATATTTTCTTTGACAGTTACTGATAAATACTGCATCTGAAGTTTTTGCCATGACTCCCCTGCCTGTGGCCCTCCCCCCACCTCCCTAGATACCGCTCACATCCTGCTTGTCCCTCGGCTGCTATTGTACAGTGAGGATGGCATGGGACCCCCTTAACTATTATTCCAGGAACTCAACAATAATATATTATATGGTTTTCCTGGCAGCCTATACATAGTTATTTTTGGAACCTTTAAAAGCAGCCATTTTACCATAGCATATAATAAAACACAATGTGCAATACAGAAGGTTATATTGTACATTAGTTATGAAGAAAAGTGTCCGCCCGTTCATTTTCTGAGAATTGGTGACGTGAAAAAACATGTGTTTTGTTATTCATTATTACACCTAACAAGAAGCAGATGTTTATGTGGGAGGCTCTTAGGGTGGTAAACTGAAAGCAACATGATACTAAAATATTGAGTTGTGTGGCTGCAAATAATAATCTTTTTGATTATTGATTGATCTGCTAATTATTGTCTCATTAATCATTTTTAACATTTCTATATAAGAGGTGAAAATAGTGAAAAAAGTCATCATGATTTCCCAGAGTCCAAGATGACAAATGCCTTGTTTTGTTTTGAGCTTTGGAGCCCAAGATATTAATTTTACCATTTACAAAAGACAAAGAAAAACATGAAATCTTCACATTTGAGAAGCTCAAATCTGCAAATTCTTGCTTTAACAGTGACTCAATAATTATGCAACTATCAAAACTTGTAATAATCACTTACCAATATTAAATTGAGAAATAGTTTCAGGTGTCTTTATGAATTTGTGTTGCTTGTTGTCTTGCAGGTTTTCTCCTCCTATCTTTCTGTTTCTCATCAGTATCATTCCCTCCATCTGGCTCCTGGAGCTTCATCACCAGCAGGATCAAGTCAACGAGGCTCATGTACTGCACACCAGAAATAAAGATACAGTGTCAGCGTGTAATTGCTTAAAAATGCAGTTATACACATGTAATCTAATGGCACATAAAGCTGCAGTTCATAAATCATTAACTTACTGATACCAAATACTACAGCTGCTTTTAAACTCAAAGGTTTTAAGTATTAGTTGCAGTGAAAAGTACAGGTTTGTACTCCCTCAACTCGGCCTCTGTCAACTCTTTTCAGTGCAAAAAGCTCGACTCTTGGGAGAATGTACGTGAAGTGATCACTCTGAACCAGACCATGAGGAACAACACATCATACCAGAACTACCTGAAGGTAAAAATGACGGAATGAAAATTTTATTTAACTTCATTTGCTTCTTTTTCATATTCCTGCAAAGACCAGGCATGAACAGGAGTGAGAAAAATAATTCAGTGCTTTTCTCATGATGTATTCTTTGGAAACACTGTTGTGTAGATTATACAGAATATGAAGGGCAGTGAAACCAGCCAGGATGAAGCAGCATAACAGAATTTCCCAGGGAATTGTATAGAAAATGCTGACTCACTTCTCCTCACGCAAATTTTCAATATTTTTATCCATTTTGTGTCCCCGTCATGTGATTCACAATTAATTCACAGGTGTGATTTGTCGTCAATGTGAGATGGCAGCCAGATTGCAGGAAGTCACTGCACCCAACATACTACATGTACAGTAATACTACATATAGATATTCTCACATATGCAGCACTGAAAATCTGGCATCACAATCTCAATTACAGAAAAATAGAACAAAACAAAGAATAATAATACAGCGAATCAATAACATTAGATATTACACACATTTACTGCACAATTTTCTCTGGCTCCTTGCTAGTCAAGTGTATGGAGATGTGGTTGTGCAATGTGGTTTTCTAAATCTTAAAGCAGATTAGAAGTCAACTTCAGGGTAGTAACTGAGCAGCACAGTTGCAGACAGACTCCCTGATTGTCAGTTTGGAGTGAATGCAGAAGAGAAAACAATGAACATCAGAGAACCGGATACAGCCTAAGAGAGTGAAGGAATTCAGAAAAATCACAAGAGGGAGCATAAAGGACCCTATGACAAATACAAGCCTGGTATCTGTGAAGGGCCGTGCTAATAATGGGACCAGTGAGTGGTCTAAAGAATCTTTATAACAGCCAGCATGGAAATCAAATTAATATAATCACATGTTGGATCAAACACATTCTTCCAGAGCAGACTTCTGAGACGCATTACGTGTCCACTGATTAAATGCTCCTGCACATTTATTTATTTTTTTATTTGTTTATTTTGAGGGTTATGAATAATCTAAATGGCATCAACCAGAAACTTCCAATGACTGGATCCTGGCTCTTCATCAGGTCCTGCTCATCCTCCTCATCTTGGGGAAATGGCTGCTGCCCCTGGGAGGTGGAGTCACCCGTGAAGAGCTCTCCCAGCTTCTCCTAATTTTTGTTGGCACAGCAGCAGACATCCTGGAATTTACTAGTGAGACACTATCAGATGTCAAGTGGGTGGCTCATCATGTTGCTTGCAGGATGTGAATATATTTCATAGTTTTAAGGATCTCACCTACAATGAGACTAACCTTTGCTGTGTTTTCCACGTGTCCAGGGAGAAAAGTCCTCAGCTGGTCTATGTCATCTTAGGTGTATGGACCTGGAGCATGTTGCAGTTCCCCCTGCATGTGGCTGGTCAGTGTGTTTGTGTGTTAAACCAATAACTTTAATGCTTGCTAAGCAGTCACAGCCATTTATTGCTGTAAAATCTAAACAATGTGCTTAGAAATTGGCAAATCTTTAGTAAAGTCAGCAGCATCCAGGCCAGTGATGTAAGTAAACAGTGAAAGTCAGTTTAGCTGAAATCACTTGCTCTTCTATTTATCAGATGTTTCTCAGAAAAGTATTAAACTGAGCTCAGACAAGAATATAGACCCTCCTGCTGATTTTGGACCGAAGGGTTTTGTGAAAGAGTGAACATTGTAATGTCACCACAAACAGCACAACTTTGTTCTGGGAAAACACAACCCCCAATAATAATCTCCATTATTCAGAACTCAATCTTTAATAATTCACATGTGGATGGTGAGATTCTTAATAGTGAAAGTAGCTGTGTGTGGCTTTTCCATCGTAATACATTGAGAGCACTTAGCCCCAGATGCACAGGGCTTCTTTGGGTTTATAAATGAAGCAGTGTTTCCTTCAGTGTGTGTTTATGTTTGTGTCTGCTTATGTGGGTGCGTCTTTTTTTATGTTATGTGAGCGTGCATTCACATCCAGTATGTTTGAATGCTGTGTAAACACAGAAGGTGTTGACATATGGGAGCAACATGTTCACAAATTCAGATCATTAGTAAAAATAGTACCATGTGCAAATATTCAGTTACAAGAAAAAGTCCTGGATTCAACATTTAGTTTAAACAACATTAAAGAACAATTATTAATAAAAATCAAAATAAAATAGTTATGCTGTAAGAATTTGCATCATATTGCATGTAATTGTTCTTGGATTAATAAGGGTTATTAAATGTACTGTAAAACATTGGATCATATTCTCACTGTACATTTTTAAAACCCCTCACTGCCTAAAAGCTGTCAGTCGAGTAAAAATGTTTCTCTCTGAAACATAGTGAAGTAGCATAAAATCAGAGCAGTAATGTGATCTACCTTGTGGTATACTTCTGCAACCACCCCAAAATAATATAAAGAGGGTAAATGGAAATGTGTTTATTTTATTTAATTTATATTTTGCCAGGGAAAAAACACACCGTGGTTCCAATGGTGCCCTAGCCAAGATGGCACCAAAGCATAAAATGCTCAAAGTATATTAAAAAAAAAAATTAAAAAACTTCAGAAATTGCATTTACAAGAAAATGAAACTATTTGCATAATAATAATGTAGTACCTGTATGGTGTATTTTTTCTAATATAGGCAAATTAAACTGGCATAAAAAAAAGCAACTGTGGACATCTTGACATCTTCCTCAATGTTGCTTTTTACTGTCAACCTTGTGTTTTATCTCTCTTTGTTTTTAATAGTGGTGAACTCCAAGCCAGGCAATCAGAGTGAGCAGGGTGTCCAAGAGACGTCCCTCTGGACTAAACACAGCAGAGATGTGTGGAGCATCATGGAGGCCTTGTTCATTCAGGACGGGCCTTTTCTGGTTGTCAGGCTCACCGTCATGACCTACTTTGGCGTCTTCCACCAGATGCTAGGCTTCTTCGCCATTAAGAACTTACTCGTGGTCATACTGAACGTGTACAGGTTGACTGTGATATGCCTGGATTCCAGAAGGTATTCCAGAAGTAGCACCCGCAGGGAAACTGTTGTCCCATGAGCTGGATGAGTGAGCAAAGAGGAAAAATGGGATCTAGGGACAGGGAGAGATGTTACACCCATTGTTTACACATTGTTTTACAGTTTTAGTAGCCTGGTAAAATCTGCAGTAGATGCAGGAAAAGAAGAATGACTAAAGGCTGATTTTAGTTATTGATAAAGTGGCCTTACTGGGCATGATGTGATGTTAAAATAAAAGCTGCCAAAGGACACAAAGGACACAAAGGAAAGAAAGGAAACAGAGCACAACAGGAAAAGGCGTGGGAGTCCAAGAGAAAACTGACCACATGCAAACAGACATTACATCGCTATGCATGTCAGCACAATACCATGTATGACAGTAGTCCTAAAGCACACCTCAGTTTTAATTCTGCCCGGTTCTTTTGTCTGAAGGCCCCAAGAAGTAACACTCAGGAAACAGGAATCAGCTCTAAGTAGATTTATTTTCTTCTGGTTAAATGCAGAGTTATTACAGCGCTGGGCTCTGAGAGATGACAAGTCTCCAAGAGCATCGATAATCACAAATCATTCACATTTATCTTCTCGGGCTGGGACTGCCCTATACATGGGTGGTACATTACACGTCAGTATTCTAGAATGTTCATATAGGCAGTATGTGTGTGTGTATGATGTTATCTTCTATTTTCAGGCGTTTCTTTCCAACTGAAAATGGACATGCAGTTAGCTGTGTCACTTACTTCCCTGATTGTGTTGTAAAAAACCCCTTATTCATGCTTCAGACATGAGTGACCAGTTCAAGCCCGTCAGACTTCACATCTGTAAAACAGCATAAATTAACAGTATCTTATCTATAGTTTTCAAGACACTTATCTATGCAATCTACTCTTGCACAATTATCCAAGAAAATAAGAAACACTACAAGTTGACCTACTGCTGAAAATTATAACTATTATGCATGTATAAGAGCCAGGTTAATAATAAAACATAAACAGTCATACTAAACTTTATCCTTATAAAGCAAAATAATACTAACAGTAAATAAAACAACTGCAACTCCTGAAATCCAATTCTAACATCAGTTCATCAACACGGCTCCTGCAGTTAATGGCAGATACTGTAAGAATTGGACAGACTTTGAACAGTGTGATGCCTGGCATCTTGTTGAGCAGAAGTAAAGGCAGGAAGAGAGGAAGACAGACAGATATAGGAGATGACACAAAGGCTCTAGAGTGCTGACAGATGCTGAGATTGGAGGAGAGTCCCATATGATTGTGACAATAGCTGATATGGTAGGTGGCAGTTTGATAAAACCACAGTATGAGGACTGGATAAAGATTGTGTTTTGGTGAAGGAGACCATGAAGCTTTATTGCTTTAATATTTCAATAGGCAAGAAATCAGCAAACCAAGCACCACATCAATTACTCATTACTTTTTAAGAGGGAATGAGAATCAAGTTTTCACAGGAATTAAAAAAAAAAGTTATTTAAATTATTCAATCCTTACTCTCTAGCCTTCCTTGAATGATGGTTGTAAATTTGCTAAACACTGAATGTGTCAATAATATCCTTAAAAACTGAAGAGAGTGAAGACATACATAGTGCACACTGCACTCAGGTAAAGAGGTAACTTGCTGTGTGTGGTCTGCCTTTGGCTTTGTGCCAAGGACAACCTGTCTTATGTTAAGGAGACACCTCAGCACTAGCTGCACTGTAATTTTTACAGAATGTTTAACTAAAATATATTATTATTTTTTCATGATTTAAAATAGCTTTAGTGTTATTTCTACCATATCATTTAATCATTGTTAAATGTTAATATGGCCGACACAGCCCAAATAAAGCAAGCCATACCACTGTAAATATTATGTTTCTTTTATTATATGCCTATATGGGCATTTATTCTAAAGAGAGCAATGAACAATACTAGGAAGTAGCCTACTCTAATAATGGGAATTATATACATACAGATATATATATATATATACATACATATAGTTTTTCAGTTATATTCCCTTGGAGAGATCTGAGCTGCCACCTTGTGCCAACTTTACGCAGTGCATGATCTCGCTGTCTTTCGTTTTCTCGGCTCTTTTTACCGCTCACACCTCACAGCTACTGTTGTAACCCCCAATTTAAAAATGATCAAGTTTACAATTTAAAAATTGTTTCTCGAGTCAAGCCTCGAGAAAAAACAAGCGGCTCTTTTTGGACCTCTTTTATTTTTTTTTTTTTTTTTTCTGGGTGTAATGTGACACGGAGAACGGGGCTGGGCCTGACCTACTGCCAGACTAGCCCAGCCCTTCAGGTCCAAAAACAGGTTTTATTGCACACTCGAAGGGTTTTTTTAGAATCCAAAACCACACTTTACTAACTCCTTCTTTGCGCAAAGACGCACTAGACACTCTATCATCGGCCAGACTACACCGCGCTTGCTCGCTGTTTATCCTTGTCTTCTCCCCGCTCCTCACACTCAGATCGTCGGCTATGTTTCGCTGTGGGATCGCCTACCCCCGATGCAGGTGGATCGTGCCCCTGCTACTGCTCTTCGCCATCATCTTTGACATTATTGCCATCGCCGCCACCTCAGGATGGGTCGAGGACGAAGACGCAAAGTCTGACTACGCCAGTATGTGGGAGCGGTGCCGAGGCAAGGAGAAGTGGACCTGTACGTCGCTAATGGAGTTCTGTAAGTGTCGTTTTCACGGCACACAACGCAAAACATTATCACCAGAGCCAATAGATAAATAACAGAGAAAACGCACGATTCCAGTTATCTGATCTGATTCAGTGTAGCCCTAATGTCTCGACTGGGTGTGAAACTCAACATTCACATATTGTAACCTGAAGGACTCGATCTCTCCCAACAACCAAAACTCCAGGCTGTGGGGAGGAGGGAGGCCTACAACCCTCAGTCAGACCGACTGAACTTTGGTCTGAAGTGGATTTTCTGGCCACACATATAAAGGAGGGAAGGTTTATGCAGGTGGTGTGTAAAAAGCCCAGACATTCTCTACTTAAAGTTAACTTTTGAACTTAGTCTTAAAGTCCTAACATGGCTTCTCCTAAAAGCTACAGCTGTCAGGAAATGCAGGACATTTTCTGCTTTAATCTGATGGTAATATCCATTGTCATTTAATATGAGCTGCAGACCAGTGGCCTATCAGCCAGTTTCATAGTGTGCTTGATAAAATCTTATGAACCAGCCAGTGGCACCCCATTTATATACAGGAGTCCTCCCAGTTGCTGTTTTTACTTCTTTGTCCTACAGCACTAACAATAATGAAACATACAAGAGGAGCAGAGTTAAAGTAACCTATGTGAAACTGCTCCCAGAGTGTAGTGTGTATCAGTTTGAGGGGGGGAAACATTCCGATACACGACACCTCAGCAACAGACTTTAAAATGGCTGGCTGTCACACCTAGCTCAGGTATGGCTTTTACAAACCAATAGCAAATGAGTTTTTCCCCTCAGTGAGATACTTCGAACAATACCTGTGAACAGGGCAGACCAATGTTGTCGCTCTTCCTCTCCTTCTCTTGTACAGTATTTGTAGTACAACACACCCACAGTCACCAACAAAGACCGTACTGTTGCCCTTATCTGACTAGGGAAGTCTCCTAGCCCGAAGCCCCATGTTGTGATCTGCAAAACAGACATGGCAACATGAAAAACTGTCCTGTATATTATCAGTGAATTGTTGATTTGTTGTCCTCGTGTGTCTATAACATACACTTGTATCAAAAGAGGCATAAATGCTTCTGCGACTTCGTGGCCATCAACACTCTATGCTAAAGACTCGAGGGTTATGGCTGCGTGCTGCCCTCCAACCCTGACCTTAAGGCTGACTGCAGTGAGCATGTTAACCCCTGACAAGCTCTGGTGCATGTCTCAAAATACTCTAAAATGTTGTGTTGTAGAGCTGCAAGCATTAGTCAGTTAATCAATCAAAGAAATGCTTTGATAATTGATTATTTGTATGTCAGTTTTCAGGCAAAATTTGCAAAGATATTAAATCTTTCCTGTTCTCAAATGTGAAAATTTGCTGCTTTTTAAGGTCTTATATTGTAGTAAATTGAAGTTTTGGGGGGCAGTGAGCTGTTGTCTGAACAAAACATTGTGTTTGATGACATGCATATAGGCATTTTAATGCTTTCTGATATTTTATAGATCAAAGCTTTAATCATGAAAGTAAAATCATATCAGTCGATAATAAAAAATAATCATTAGCTGTAGCCACTGCAGTACGTGTCTGTAGTGTAAGATAATAGTTGTAAAAATGTTTTTCAACTTTGTTTCACTCCAGCTGTGGCTCAGTGACAGCAGCGGGAGACTATTTTTATTTAGTTCTCATAATTTCAGCTGTCATGACCAAGCAGAAGTCATTGCTGCTCTATTTTCAGTTCTCATTTGATGTTTTCCATCACATAGTTGTGTTCTTCCTCCAGACTGTGCACTGCTACACAAAGGACGACCAGAAGAGTGCCAGCTGGCTCTCGGATACATTCTTCCTCTGAGCGTGCTTGTCACTCCTCTGGTGTAAATATCTGTTGGGATATATTAGCAAACTGAAAGACTGAGGGGAAAAAAACACTTTGATGGGCCAAACAGAGTCCCTGTCATGGTGTTTAGGCTGCTCCCTGTGTGAATGGGAAGACTACTGTACATTCCCATGAGCTGCAGCTTTTCTTTGAACAATAGGCATAAACATGTTTTAATGCTTTGGCATGTGTGAGTCATTGGCAAAACATATTTAAAGGAGATAATTACTGGTTTAATGTTGATCATTGTAAAGTGGTGGCTTCAGATTCCTAATTTTATCCTTTAGTCAAAATCCAAAAGTATTTGTTTTGCCGTCAAGTATGACAGAATGAACAACGACTGAAATGGTTTCTTGGTTCTCAGAATAGCTGCTGATTAATTTTCTGTCCAGAAATTGTTTTGGGTCTGTAAAAACATACCATCACTCCCATATTAGCGAACAAACTGATTACTACCTCGACTGTGTCACTGAACTCTAGTTTACTGAGTTGCAACTGCTCTGTGTTTCCAGCACCAGGAGCTGCTGGCTCCTCAGGTGTCCCATTAAAATCTTTTGAAGGAAAGTGCAGCGTGTCGAGTCGGTCCCTGCTGCCTGTGTGAAGCCCGTTCTAGGCGGTTTGAGGAATATTCTCCTTGACTGTGAGACCAGAGCTGAGCATTTCAAAAGACCTTTCCAGTTGTAGAACAAGCACATTTGTCATGGCCGGGGCTTTTTGCAGCATACAATGAAGGCGAGTCAGTGTGTGTTTGCACTTGTTGAACTCAAAGGAGCCTTTCAGTAAAGCCACAGTTAAGGACATGTTCCTGTGCAGATGTAGTGTAAAAGTGTCGGAGTGCGGTGTAGTCACTATCAGTTTTGATCAGATGAGAAAAGCAGATGTTGATGATGGGGATGGGCAGGCACACACCCAGACATTTTCCCACTAAGTACACAACATTCCCAAGCTTAAAACAGGAACAAGCACACAGGCGTGAGGAAGCACTACAAAGCCGACGCATACAGTAATGTTTAACCCCTCGAAGACCACACACTCGGAGCCTGTAACCACTGTGCTGCTAAAAGTAAAGGATTAGCAGTAAATATGAATGAATGTGTAAAAAGTGAACGTAAATGCAGTAGATGGAGCCCACTGAGGTAATCCAGACCGTTTCCAGTTTCTGAACTCAAATGTCCTTCCCCATAGTTTAATCATTTTATTTTCATGCTCTCTGGGAGAAAAGCAGAGTTTATGGCTTACAGAGAAATAATCTGACTAAATCATCAGTGAGGGTGCATTACAGTTAAAGGTTACATTATATTTTCTACTGTATGGTGTAATTAAGTGGTAGTAAGATGATTTCTGGTATTAGATGACCGAGTTGTGAATGTCTGTCTTTCAGGATGTGACATTCAAACGCTGTATTGCTGGACGATGTAATCTGGAAGAGTGACAGTAAAAACAAGATTTGACCGAGGCTGCATTTGTTTGTGTTTGTGTGTCAGCATGTGGTTTAGCTTGAGCTTACTCTGGCTTGAGTACATTAATTATATTTCTATTAATTCCTAATCAATCACAGAATAACAGATGTTCATTTGGTCCCTGCACATTCATCAGCATGCATACAAAAAGTACTTTAAACACCAGTGTATTTCTGTTTGAATGTGTTGCCTTTATTACTTTTTGTTTACATGGATACTTTAAAACTGTAGTAATACATTTATGGTGCTGAAGCTCAGTATGAATCTGAATCCACTGCAGTGGTCCTGATATGTATATATAGCTCCACTGTGCAGGACACTGAGCCTCATGCAAATGTGTTTTCATGTTTTTATTATAAATTACTGAACATTTAATCAATTGCTCTTACAAACATTCCAAGTCAGATTCACCTAATTCTCTTAACTGCAAAAGGGAATGAGAGAATTTTCCTACATCTTTCCTATTTATTTACTGAAAAATCTGAAATACCTCTCAGAAACTGCAGCTTTGGTGATGATGTGCTGAACAGAATATTGTAGCATTCAGTTTGTGTAATTGTAGTTTTTGTTAATCAAAGCAAAGTTGGTGTCATGTTTAAACTCCACATCCGTCCAGTAAATTGGTGGATGCCACGTATTCTCTTAAATTTCTCAAAATGTGCAAACGAATCTGTTTGTACAACTGGTTCCCGCATGAGGTCCCTGGTGTCGTTTCTGAGCCTGAAAGCCACTGAACATTATTGTGAGTACAGATGAGGAGTCAACCAGTTAAACTAGTCTGTGTGTGCTTCCTGAGAAAAATGCCCCGGGCCGAGGCAGATAGGGCATAACTTAAACAAACGTACACACACAGGTATGAATAATTTAGGGAGTAGCCCGATCCAGTAACAGAGAGGTGGGTGTAACAGTGTGTTATAAATCCACATAGTGGGTTTGGGCTCGTGTTCGTGTTTGTTGGATTGATCATTATTTTGTATGATGAAATTGGCCCTGCATGTTTGCTTGAAGCTTGGTACAGAGGAGTTTTTATTTTAGTCCTATGTCAAACCTGTCCAGAACACAACAGTCAGTTTAAAAATGTAAGATGTTTCGTAACAGAGATTATTATATAAAATGAAAGCTCCTCAACAGTACATACAGTGCCAACCTCACCTAAGGGTCTGTACAAAGAGCATGATGTACTGTCAGGTGTTCAGTGTGGTTTTCATCCTACAGATCAACAACTATGCATGGCGGGAGTTGCCTGTATCGGTGCTACAAGTTTTTTCTAATAACAGTGTGTGTCTGCAGGATGTCACAGAGTGACACAGAGGACAAAAGTGTGGAGGGTGAGGGTGTGGTGGGTGAGTGTAGCAAGTAGCTTGAACTTTGTCAGCCTTGTGGAGTGTGCTGTCCTGAGTTTATGCTCTAAATGGTGAGAGAGAGAGAAAGGTCATCAGGGCTGCAACAGTGACTAAAGACCGCTTAGACACATTGCACATTAGATGACTAATTTCTTTCCAGAAACAAAGCTAAAGTACTCTAAAATAATAAGTTTCTCCCCACACCTACATACGAATCACCCAGAAACATTGCATTTGGACTAATGTCCTATTTACATCATACCTAAAATGTACATGTATTGTAATAAAGATAGTAGAAAGAAAGGAAAAATATGCTGTGGTAAATATCTGTATTAGTAATGCACCAACCCTAAAATCATCTTTAGTTTTGTTTCTACACACAGAGAAATTTCTAGTATCTTTTCAAGCCCTGAAAATGTCCAGGCTTTTCTGCTCCGAGTAGATTCTGCAGGTGTTTCTCATAGGCTGCATATATAGCGAAGCGCTCACTGCTTTGACATATCAGCTCGGATTTTCTCTCAATGTTCAGCAAGAGTTTAGTAAGAAAATCCAGCTGAGACTATAAGAGTGAAGGGGGCAAAAACAGGATTTTGAAAAGACGTGCCTCTGAAAAGTAAACCTTTGCTTCTACACTACAAACAAAAACTTTGCATTTGCTAATATAAAACTAACCTGTATTTTTATTTGACTCCAGCTTGGGCCCAGGCAGTGGCTGCTCTGATGATCATTGGCCTCCTCATCCTCATCGTTGCCTTCATCATCTCCTGTGTGGCTCTGTGCTGCACGCTCAACATGACCCTCCTGCCCCTCATAGCAATACTGCTGATTATTGTTGGTAAGAATCATGCATACATGCATACGAACGCCTACTTTCTGCATATTTAATAAGATACAAGACTGTGTAAAATGTGAAAATGTTATTTAAATCAGTTTAAATCTGATTTAACAATAAGTGAACAAGGCATCTGACATGCATCTGACCAGGTCTTTGACGCTAACGTGTGGTAATTAAAAGTTGCTAGAACCATTTTCAGTTGGCACAAAACATATGAATATATGAATCTGTGTTTTTTTTTTTTGTTTTTTTTTTACTAAAACTTGAATTCATTGACATTACAAGACTATGTGGAAGATAGTTTTATCTCACATCTAAGCTGGCAAAGATGTAAATTTTCATTACATTTGAAAACTAAAGACTCTAAAAGGTAT